GTTACTGCTGTCAAATTGTCACACTGAACTGTTACTACACAGACATGAAACAGCTGGTTTGTTCACTGACCCACTATTTACCAATGAGAGTCCTGTTTCCAACATCCATTTAAATGTGCACACTAACAGATGTACAATATGAAGCAGTCATCACCACATCCTACAGCTTTGCTCTCAGTGTTTTCTGCAGCAGACTTATTTTCAATTACAGGTCCAATACAAGTATCACAGTAAAAAAATACAGTATGATGCGAGTTAGCATATGGAACAGGGGTACAAGTGAATCATTAGCTAAGGTTCACTTTGGGATCTAGAAAAAAACATACGGCTCAAACCACTGGTTACATATGAAGGCATATTAAATACTCACCTGAAATGTTCACTCTACAAAAGTAGAATTAAATACAGATCTTGGGTTTTCATGATCTAACACAGGTGACAGAGCACTCTTCAAAAGAGACCATTCAAAAAAGATTTTAAAGACTCTCTGTGAGCATGAAGTGTGTATCACTATGGAAAACACAGATGATAAATCCTAAGCCAAAGGACATTTCTAGATGTACAAATGTCTTCCTAATAAACTGATAAGAAAGGCCTTAGTATAAGAGTGAAAATATAAGAGAAGATTTGCATTTAATAGTTTCTCCAGAGAACAAGAATTACAGGCGTGGAATTTACTCATTCTCCTGAAGAAAGTAACTACAGATCTTCATGGATATAACAGGGAGGATGACAACCTTTTCAGAACCTTAAAAGCTGAACATACAAGGCTGTGCTCTGCCTGAAGCCAAGAAAGAAAAGGAGAAGAACTTGGCCCAAAAGTTTGTCTTTCAAAATCAACAAAGAAGGAGTTCATAGAAATAAAGAAATAAATACTGCATTTTAAATTAAGATGTAAGTTTTTAATTATAAAAGAGTACAGTTCAGAACAATTCAAGTTGCTCAAAAGGAGAAAGTAAATGATAAGTCATACATCATGAAAAGTTTGAAAAATTTCCAACAAAATACAGGATGCCATCATGTTTTGATACAGGCCTTCAGGCAGAGAAAAAAATACTGTCCTATATTTGAAGCTTATTATTTGTAAGGTTGGAATTTTTCACCTCTCATTTTTCTGTATGTTCTATACTCTAGAAGTTATATATTTTTGAGGTATGCACAGCTAATAAAAATGCCAGTGATTGCCAGTTAAAAAAAACAACTTGTCATATACTAGCAGGATAGTCCTGGCAGAACAAATATTTTTCAGATGTTTAATACAGAAGAGATTTTCAGCAAGAATTTCTGTTGTCATAAATGTTAACAGGACCCAGGTATCATTCACCTCATCTCCAACCAGGATATTTAAAAAAAAACCAACAAACTTTTTTCCATGAAATAAAACAGTTTCCATTCCACTTACACTGGGCTAACTGCAGTGCTTTCTATATTAAAAGCTATATGGAAGGCCATAAAATGAGGCACTAGCCTTTTATCTAACTTCAAAACCACTTGCCTGGAGTGATTTGTCATTGCTGTAGGGTTTGCAGTGGTTCAAGAGAAAGGTTTTAATGCAGAAAGGAAGGGAAAGAAAATGCAGCACAGCACCTCTATGTATTGTTTAGTATCGAAAGACGAATAATCTTTTTTCAGTAGCAGTTAACATGGCACCTGTATATTTTTCAGTTTTTGCTCTTATACTCAAAACATTTCTAGACAGTTATCTCCTACCTTAAGCAGATAAAGCAAACTGAACTGCAGAATGAATTAAGCAGAGGAGGAAAGAATCAGGCCCGCTGTTGTAAAAATCTGACATGTGGTTTCAAAGGTTTTCAAATCTCCATGCTTCACCATTTTTCCATACTGAAATGTCAGGTAACTACAGAAAATTTTCAGTATATAATTAAAAAGATGCAATGATTTTTGGTTGTTACTCAGCTTATGCAGCTTTTGCCTGAAGGTGAACTTGCTCAACTTTCCAAAGGCCACTAGATCTGCCAAGATAGTGTGATCAGTCTTGCTCTTCCTTCAGAATGAAGAATTTGTGAGAACTGCAACAAGGACTTGGAAAAAAATGCTGAAAACTAGCAGAGGCTGAAAAGTCCTATCTTTCATGCAATTTGAGACCACCTTTTATCTTTCTGAAACTTGCATAAATAGGATGAGTCATTTGTGAAACTTCCTATGTCCCTGGTCTTCTGAGAGAGCTAGCCAGTAAGGAAACACTCTTCCATTCAGAGGAGGAAAACATACATCCATCCAGAGAAGCCCTACAGCATATTTATAAGACAACAAAGTATCTAAATGAACAAAAGTAGACAAAAAAAGAAAATCAGAAGTAGATAGCCAGTCTCTTTGACTTAGTTGTGGGCATTTTTCATGCACCTTTCTTTAAGTAAATTCATGCATGTCTTCATAGAAATGTGTCTGACAGTTCAGTATGAAGTGGAAATCTTTTCTCTGGTGTCCAGGTTTGATCAAACCCTTTGTTTTCAGAGAGGGCACGAAAAAGAAAAAAGTGTCTTTAGTACTGCAAAGTTTTTGTCATTTGGATGAGTTTTTCTTGGAGTAATACAAGGGAGATCTGTCAGTTATCTGAAAACAAAAAAATAATCATAGATTCTCTATAACTGTTTTAGGAGTGAAGGCTTTTGTTGAGTGCTGTGGCTATCTGTCCCATAATGACTGAATAGAAAATAAGCAAAAATAATCTAAAATACAGCACAAGTGTTATGATGCTGAAAACTAGTCTTGTTAGGATTTGAGCGATCAATCTAGTTGTGAGAGAGTCTAGAGTTTATTCCTAATCTTACTGTCATCCTCTTATATATATAAAGCGAGGGGATGCTCTACCTTCTTCTTGCGCATCTCCAGAAGTGCCTTAGACATCAGAGGATTCTTGCAAATCCTCCAGCTCCCCAAGGATGCTACAGACATCCTCATCTTCTTCCATCAACTCTTCTTTAGCTGGCTTCCTGAGAAATGTAGTACAAGTGTATGAATTCATTTGGATGGGCCACAACACACAGCGCATCAAAACGCACTCACTTCAAGGTCCATCCAACAATGGATCTAATTTGACCTGCCATGTCATCACTCTCCAGTGGACACCTTGGAACTCTTTTTGAATCTGTTGGCCCATTTCCTTTTTTCATTATCATTCCACAGATGTGAAATGGAAGTAAAAATCAGAGTCACTGAATAAACACAATGAGAAAAAAAATCACAGCGGCCTCTTGGCAGGAGAGAAACAATACATCCTACTGAAGATATTTCTACAGCTAAGAGCAGAAAGGAAACTAAGAAGATGGATGTTAGCAAAGAAATATAATTAATGTTCATTTTGTTTTAAATAGTATAAAAGAATAATAATTTATCTGTGAATTAAGTGGTCAAAGATACACAGAAGAACTAAAAGCTGCCTCTCAGACTAGAAAAAGAACTGAAAGGATGTAATTTGCTTTTTGCACTTGTTTACACTCACCACAACCAGAAAGACATCCTGACAGAAATGCCAACAGACAACACTCCTCCTATAGCCATCAGGAAGAAAAGAATGCACATTTAGAGGTCATAAAGGTTACCATTACCTGGGCACCTGTTTGTCACCTTTATACTTGGCCAATTTGAATTTTCTCTGATGATCAGTGCTCCTGACTCAAGAGAGTCAAGACACACAACCCCAAAGCTGAAGATCCGTATTTAATTACCTACCACAGAACCTTGGGAATTTACCCAAATCCCTAATGTCTCTAACAGCAGTTTGCCACCCTCTTTCCTTTTTGCTCTGCAGATGCACTAAAGAGACCTAATAGTCCTAGTTTCAGTTATCTGCCTTCCCCCATTTTTTCTAAAATGCATGGCTGCATCTCTTTCTCCTGAAAAAACAATAATCAATTTGTAGATGGGAAAGGGAGAAAGTACTGTTTATCTTGAATGAAGACAAAAATCAAAATCTTTTGAGAAAAAAAATGTTCTTTAAAAAATTCTTTAAAGACTAAAATATTTTTCTTAATTATTAGCCTCTTTTTCTTGTAAGCATCATGTAAAACATTCATATCAGATACGGCAAATCTTTGAGTCTCTTGTCTTTCAGAGCTGCACTCTTTTGCAAGCTGGCACAAAGACTTGATCTGAGAAAGATCAAGCAGAGAGCACTAGAGTGCTGTAGAACATGCTACTTCACTGCAATCAAACAGCCAAAATAGTTAACACAATTTTTTTTAGCACTACAGGAAAAAATTTACTAGATATCCTAATCTGTATGATATTTAGCACCATGATTCAGTGAAAATATTTAAAATAAAAAATGACATGTTTTTTATATATAGCAAAAGTTGGGGTTTTTTTTAAATTTTAAAATAAAAATACATAAGAAATCGTCCATAGTAGCCAACACATACATTCCAATATTGAATGGATGCTTAGGCCCTTAATACTAAAAATAAATCCAGAACCACATTTTTCCATTACCTAGTAGGAAAGAAAATCAATTCCTTTTAATCATGAGATATTTATGGTAGTGCCAGAACAGAAAAGATTTTTTTTTTAATCAAATGGTACTTTAAACTCAACAATTTAAATTACTCTTTTTCTGCAGAAGTGATAGCAACAATATATTTTGGACAAAATAAAACATTATGTTTTAGAAAGCCTTCATAACATTTTTCTAGCCATCGTCACAGCTAGCATTTTCTAAGGAGCACTGTTTTCTGAGCTGTCATCACTGAAGTAGAAAAAGAATGTCCATTCACAGTAGTCTCCAAAAGGTATGCCTGTTTTTGCATAGAATAATTTTATAATCTTTTTACTTTATCTCTCCTGCTATACACACACACCTTTGTTCAGTCCACCTATTTTACTTTTTCATGTATTCCTCCTTTGAAAACAGTAAAGCAATTAACAAGAACCATCGTTCACACAAACAAACACTCTGTGGCTTTTCTTATAAAAATATGTTGCCTTGATCAAAAATTAAGCATTCTTTTTCTAGACCATGGGGGCATTTACTTTTAGCATACCTGGGTTTGGATTCTGTTGAGTCCTCTGAACCAGAGAATCTGTCCACGTCGAAGTTCTCTCTCTGCATGATCAATTTCTTCAACATCCTCATTGAGTTCTTCTTCAGGAACCTCCTCCTTCTCAGTAAGCCTCCCTGCCTCCTTTAAAAACTTTAGTCTACTTGTTGGGATGGTTGCAATGACCTAAAATTACAAAAAGCACTGAAAACAAGCTCATTCAATAACAACAGTAGAACAATCTGCTAATTACAAAAGGACACTGGTATTTTAATGAGATCTATACTCTTTCAGGAAAGCTGAGATAAGCAAATTCATAACAGTACTTTACACTTACACAACTCCATTTTAGTCCAAAAATACTTAGTTTACTGTGTAAACAATTAGCATTACTTGCATCATGAAACCACGTTGGCAACACACAGCTATGGAGCAAGTTTAAGGCTGGGAAAAATGTTTTCCTCTCTCAAAAGACTAAAAGAAGTTGTAAATATTTGAATGTAATTATTTAAAGAAAACTCAGGAAGATCGATACTTCTGCAGTTAAGAGATTGGGTATTTCTAATGACTGATAATAATCTAACATATGTTAATGTGAGCTAAAAATAAGTTGCATCTCATGCTTATAAACCTCACATTACATTGGTTTATGTATTCAGCTTCCCTTTGTTTCAGCAAGTTGAAATGCTTTTCTTAGCATTTATCAAAAATGATGTTTCTGAAAGGTGTGTGTTTGACTGTCTCCCTGTTGGACTATTATAGGGCTATCTCTTACTCTGTGTCCTCATTAGGAGTAAATTCTGATTAACTCAGCCCCTCTTCTTATTCTGTTTGTCCACCAAAGTGGTCCTTGGAAGTAATTAATACAGGAGATGGCTAATCATCTTTCAAACTTGGAAATACTGTAGTTAACAAATGTTATAACACAATTATTCTTAATAGATTTCGGTGTTACCCTCTGGGGCAGTCATTTTCTCTTTGTTCTGATTTCTATTGTCAGTTTGAATAAAAATATGAGTAGATGGCTATTTAACGAAGATGTTACCTAGAACATAATGAATGCTTAAAAAAAAAAAAAAATCTCCTACAAAGCTAACTCTTAGACCTCTTTAGCAAAAAAGTGCTGCAGTTTTCTTTTTTGTTTTCTCTTTGTTTCAGCAGCGAGCAATCACATCCCTGAAGCTCAAATGTGTGAGAGATGGAGCTACAATCAGACAGTTGCAGGAAAGTTGGTGAACTGGAATGGATATAGTGAAGACACATGAAAATGCATCAACTGTTTTCAGGACGAAAATAAACTCTTGAGTTTGCTAAGGGTCTCCTTGAGCTTCATGAAGACAGATAAAGAAATGGCAAAAAACCCAGTTTCTACACTGCTACAGAACCTTTTAAAAATGCATCGTGGAGTTTGAAAAACAAGATGTAAACTTGGAAAATTAATGAATTGGTGTGACACGAGCAAAGACAGACCAGGAGAAAAAAAGAAAAGGTAAGTGCTAGTCATTTAAATACTTACTGAACTCCTTCAGCTTCCCAGCTTTCAAAACACTATAATGCCAGCACTCTACAGAAAGAAGCTACTTGAGATTCTCTGGTATCTGATGAAACTCGTGGTGATTAAGTCCTTGCAAGACAGTACACATAGAAGCAACTGTATTTGGTAGCGATTCTGTGTGATAGAACATACCTCTCCTTCACAACCTCTCTCACTCAGGCTGATAGATTCTGCTCTAATTTTTTTCTTAGGATGTTTATATTATAGTCTTTTTGTTTGTTCGTTTGTTTCCATAGCTGCAGACGCCTGCCCAGTTCAGGTAATGGCAGACTCAATAGACTGGATGTAGATTAAGGAACTAAATATTATTCCCAGGAAAATTATTGCAGTTTTCAAAAGTGATCAATAATTCTAGGAATGTAACGTGAAATATTTCAGAAAGACTTGGTTTTCAGAAGTGTTGAGGCCCACCTTTTGGAATACTGTCCCTCAGAGTATCTGAGATTGGCTTCGTAAAAATTACACTTAAATCACTTTTAAGGTGCCAACTTTAACATCTAAACTTGAAAATCTTGATTGGTTTTAGTGGTTCACAAGAATAGCAGGTTCACGAGATGATAAAACGAAGGGATAACTAATTTAGAGTTAGTCATAGCAGGAGAGAAAAGGCTGAGAAGGAAGAGAAGCACCTTTTCTAAAGAAAAAAAAGCCTCTCACTGGAGAGCTCCATGAAGAGAGGACTTGCCACAGAAAATCTTTGAAAATCTGAGGCCCAACTGTCCAAAAAGTTATTTTTTTCTGTAAGAGAAAAACTACTCAGTTTTGAAAGCTAGCATCATTCATTACAATTCCGTAAGAACCATTTCAGTATTCAATTGCAACTGGCAATTTCTTGCTTGTTTCTTCATAGTGGTAAACTAGTTGGTCTATATGAATCTTTACATCTGAAAGGCAAAATGTAGCTTCACACTTTTCACATATTTTTACTGTGTCAGGTGGCATCAACTTAAGTACATTAATAAGACATTCAAAGATGAAAAAGTTATTATTATTATTAACTTTGCAATATGCATTTGTACAAAAAGAGTAATGTAGTATTTTAACAATACTGATTGTATCTGTATTATTACTTCCAGACAGATAATCACATAACTTATTTAATTATCTCATTAACACTTGTTTTTACATCTATATATAATTTTATATTAACTAATGATGACACAGGTTGTAGCAGAATTTTAAAACGACACATGAATTAAACTGCACTTTTCTGCAACTATTATAGGAAAAAAAAAATCCTTTTTCTCTCATTCCCTCTTCCATCCTTTGCACACAGAAAGAGATGGATGCAGGATCACTGCGAGTCTATGTTAAATGCACTGGACTTAGTCCAGTTACTTAGCCAGTAACAAAGATACCCTGGATTGATAGAATGGCAGTTTCAGCAACAGAATGGGTGGGTTGGCACAGAACTGGAACTTCTTTTCACTTTCAAAAACATACCATGGCTGAACATATATATGCTACATTGGATACTCTACTGCAGGGAGGTTACAGTGCATTTACTCTTAGTATACTTTTTGTGTGACTAGAGGACTAGATTATGAATCAGTCACCTTTCATGAAAAAGCCTAACTCAAGACAACCTTGGTGACAGCACGCCCTGCTTAGGGAAAGGAACATACAAAACCTAACAGAAACCAAAAGGAACAAGAGGATAAATTACTCTCACTACTATATCCATTGTTGAAGTACTTAGAGAGCACCATGTATTTCAATGTGTGCTAAATATGACATTGTGAGAGATGAAGGTAACAACAGCGTAGTACAGTACAGTAAGATTATGAACAGTATCAGATCTTTGATTGGTTTATAAAAACAAAAGAAAGAAATCTGCATCTTCCTGAATGCTTACCTGACCCCATACAAGTTCTCCTAATCCAATAAATACACACCACATCCACTGGTCAAGCTGCAGGGGAGAACAGCTAAATGGTTTTCCTCCAAACTGGACAATTACTATCTACAAAGAAAAGCAGAGAAGAAAGGGGGTAAATATTTTCCAAGGGAAAACCTAAACAAAACACTTGCCCCAAAAACCCCCTCAAACCCCACAAAAAAAACCCCAAAAAACTTTCAGTCATATTTTACTTCGTCTTTCTACAGCTCTGCCTTTTTGATTCCAATATATTTTATCAGTAGACTACTCAAATGTATTATTAACAACCTTTGGTTTAATGGACTGAATCCAAAGAGCATCCAAAATCAAAATACTATCTGAAATTCCAAATACATCATTTGACACTCTTAGGTGGCACTAAGCCAAGCTACCAGAGGTACATTTTTGGAACCCATCCAGCAAAGTGTGTATTTCTGTATTTATGGTCACATGTGACTGGGACAGCAAACTCACAAGAGGGACATGTAGAATTACTACCAACAAGCAGTATTACCACCAACACTGAGTAGCATTTGGTAGTGGCATTTAACCTCAGAAGAACAGATCAGCATTAGCTGTTTGAAGGCCAATTTGTCTATTCATGGAGTAGTGAATTAATGTAAAACGCTTTGTTGCTATTGTTTGGTGTACTATTTAATAATTTATTCTAAAAAAAACCAGTTACAATATCAACAAATCATTATAGCTGTTATTATTGTACATCTTCAGATTAATTTAAGATCTGACATAGTTATATGATCAAAATTTCTGCTGTTGTAGTATGGTTACATAACATTTTCCATTATTGACACTTGTATTAATTTAGAAAATACATAAAACCAGGTGGTTTACTATTGTGTCTCCTACAGCATTTAGATTTAACAAAAACCCCAACAACAACAACAACAAAACCATAGAAAAAAACCTTAAGGTAAATTTCTGCTTAATAGTTACTAATTCTTGCCCAAATCATTACCTGAATAGCAAATGTACCCAGTACAATAGTGCAAAAAATAGGATTTCTGAAGATGCCATCAAAGACATTTCTTTCACCATGGATTTTCCGTGCGTTGATTTCATTGAAAAGCTGCATCATGACAAAGGTGTTGAAGATAATGGTGTAATGCTCTGAAGGAGGAGAGTGAAGTGGTGCATTCCTCCCGCTGTCGATCTTAAACATTTTCTCACCTAGGTATAAGAAAAAAATATAGGTTTCCACTAGAATAAATTAATCAAACAAATTTCTATATCCCTTGTTTGCTTTAGCTAGTTGCCTCCTGTGCTCTGCTTTACCAGCTTGCTTTCTGCATTTATTATAATACAGGCAGAATTTATAACACCATCTGAACTTGCGAGCAAGAAGCTTCTCAAATGGTGACTTTTATCTAATAACTCAGTTTATCTATGCAAACAGTGTTCAGCAGTACTTTTCCTCTAACCAAGTACTAATTGTTCTAAGAAGTCAATGCTTTGTAATGTACTGAGCACTTGAGACCATGGACAGTATATCTGCGATTATCTGCAATAATTAGAAGCAACCACCCTTCAGCAGTTTTTACCCATTTGCTAATCCAGTATGGCATAACTCTTGACAAGCATTCAAGGACATTAATGATAAAAAACACAGACATTTCTGGTTTTAAATAGATTTGGTTTGGCTCATTCTGCTAGTTTGCTTCGAAAGCACACCATCAGGCGCTGCTCTTTATTTTGATAATCTATCACTTTTAGATCTGACCAATAAAAAAAGAAAGATACAACCTATGATAACTGTAAAAATGAAGTCAGTTTTGAAAAGATACCTGCACCTGAGGGACTTCTTTTCTTCTACAATCATAGAATGGTTTGGGTTGGAAGGGACCTTTAAAGATCATCTAGTCAAATCCCACTGCCACAAGCAGGGACATCTTTCAGTAGATCACATTGCTCAAAGCTCCATCAACCTGACCTTCAACACTTCCAATGATGGAGCATCCATAGTTTCCCTGGGCAACCTAATCCTGTCTCACCACTCACATTGTAAAAAAACCTCTTCCTCACGTCCACTCAAGCCTACCCTCTTTCAGTTTAAAACTGCTGCCCCTTGTCCTGTCACTACAGGCCTTGCTAAAAGGTCTCTGTCTTTCTTATAAGCCCTCTTTATATATAGAAAGGCTGCAATAAGGTCTCCCCAGAGACTTCTCCAGGCTGGACAACCCCAACTCTCAGCTTTTCTTCACAGTAGAGCTGTTCCAGCTCTCCGATCAGTTTTGTGCCTCCTCCTCTGGATCTGCTCTAATAGGTCCATGTCTGTCTTGTACTGAGGACACCAGAACTGGACCCAGTACTCCAGGTGGGGTCTCACAAGAGTGGAGTAGAGGGGGAGAATCACCTCCCTTGACATTCTGGACACACTTCTTTTTATGCAGCCCAGGATACAATTGGCTTTCTGGGCTGCAAGTTCACACTGCTAGCTCAGATCCAATTTTTCATCCACTTTCTTACAGGCAAAGTTTACAGATAACATACAGTGACTGAAAGAGGCACTGTCTTACAGTGAGGGTGGGGCATTCACATGAAAGTGTAAATAATGAATAGGAGTAAAGATTATCACAATACTATTTACATTCATAACCAGTGTTTTGTTAATAAAAGCAAATTAAAACTTGAGCATTTTTCTGCTCTCCCACTAGCATTATATTCAGAATTTCTGAAGAAAGAAGAAGAAAGGCTTCCTCAGGTTTTCTCCTGAGGTTATTAATTCCATCAACTAAGTTAACAGTGAGCTTTTTTTTTTTGCCTTGGGATATTTGAGCAGTTCATGTTCAAGTCACTGAGAATAATGAGCATGTTTCCAAAGAAATAATTTGGCTTACAGTCTTTTTGATGGGAAGTAGATTATGATATCACAAATATATCTGTAACACAATATGAGGCCACAGAACTGTGAGACAGCAGAAATTTTTAAGAAGATTATACATCTCCAGAGAGATAACTAAGTACTGGGAAACATTCCACGTACTACATATAAATAATAAAGGCAAAAAAATAATGAAAGCAAACAGATATCATCATTTTATCTTTTATAAACACAGACATACATATATACACGCACTACATCTATTTGCTTTCCTTCAATACACACACAAACACAAATACTTGAATAATACTTTCCTCACTTAAAGTACCTCTTCTTAAGTCTGTACTTTATTGCATTGTATCACTTAATTGGCAAAGCAGAACGTACTGCTGTTGTGGAATGGCAGTGGTTAAACCCATAACTAGTTTCTATTTCTGAATCTATTCCAAAAGGCATTATAATACATCAATGTTAAGTTTATTATCCCTAGTTACTGAGTTTAAGATTTTTTTTTATACTACAGTTTGACAAAATCCAGTGACTTCTGGATTTCTGATGTGCCTGATGTCTCAAAGGCATTACTGTATGTTCAAACACAATGTATTTATTGCCACATCATAGGAAAAAATAGAAAAACTTGATGTGCTAGTCTCTACAGCAACCTACAACAAAAAAATGAAGTAGTAGTTGATCAAAATATAAATAATTATGATTAATTTTGAATTTAGTTATCAAAACACAGAGTTTAGAACATCATCTCACTGCAAAGCTGAGCCTTGTGGAGTTTAGAAAGGAAAAGACTGCATTTCCTAGGCTTACCAGAAAATTAGTTTGAATTATACATGGGTTTTCCAGAGATACACAGAAGTAATTAGAATAGGGTGAAAAAGCTTGGTTTTCTTTTCATCACGTCTCAGTAGAAAGTACTTTAAACCATAAAACTCATCAAAGAGCCATTAAAACTCCCCATAAAGTTCACAGAAGTTCTCATTCCAAGATTCCTTTCACATGAATTACCAAGACCTTCTACACCTGTTTTATGATTACAATTGCCTTAGACTCACTAGACATTCTCAAAATATACTGTAAGCCTAACAATATCACAGACCTTCTCTCTTCAAAACCTGGCAACTATTTTGGTTTAAATAAATAGTCTGTAAACAGACTATCACCTTCTATGAGCATTCTAAATAAGCTGCCAATTGCTGGTATGGTGGAGCAAGACTTTCACAACAGAGCTCAAAAAACTCCTGAGAATCATAAATTTACATTTACAGCTTACATGGAAGTCTGTATATAAAGAAAAAAAATCTGAAGGACAAGACATGTAATTTAACAGTGATGTCATAGTGACAAGAACACAATACCTAGCTGATAAATTACCAGTCCTTTGAGCAAATTCACTTATTATTGTGGAGCAACAGAATCTATTATTAGCCCCTGCTATTCCCTGCAGCAAGAAACATTCCTCCTCCTTCCCTCCCCTCTCCAAAATACAACCTATAAAAACCATCCATTGCTAGCAAGGCCTGAAGAAGAGTCCAGTAGTCTAATAGATTAGAATTTTTTTCCTCCTTTTAATATCCATTCTATTAAATGTCAAAACAGAGTGTTATTTGTATCACATAATACTGATTACTTGCTTATCTGTGCTGCTTCAGGTGAGCATTATTTATTGACTATCACAAAGATTCTGCTCCCAATTAGAACTTCTCCAGATATTGGTAAAATGGATCTTCCTGTGTGATCTCATTCAGGTTCCTGCTCTGGCAGGGGGGTTGGACTGGATGATCTTTCGAGGTCCCTTCCAATCCCTGACATTCTGTGATTCTGTGTGATTGATTTTTGTTGTGTGTTGTTGGGTTGTTTTTTTTTTAATTTGTTGTTACATGCTCACTAAAGATGACAAGTCTCAAAATGAAATTTCAGTATAGAAGAAGCAGGCTAGATATTCCAATTAAAATGTAACCTTCTATGCTATGTTTAAATATAAACCTTTGCTAAAGCCCAAACTTACATTTTGTTAGGAGGCTAAAAAGCTCACTGAGGCCCGTCCCAACATAAACAACCTATGAAAGGTGACTAAACCCTTCTCTTGTATCCTTTGTTTCCCCTCCTGTTTCTGATCCCATTAAACTGCTCACTAGATGTTTAACTATAACAGATTTAATGTATGTGCATTGAGTGGTTACATGTAAAGCATTTTGGCATGACAGGCTCCAAGACCTAGATACTTCTGAACTAAATAACAAGCCTAACAAAGTTTCTTACCAACAAAAAGAAGTGTAAATATGAGAGTAAGCTGATAAACAGCGTGGCCCAGAATGTTCTTCATCATGGTACGGGATATCAGAGGTTTGTTCCTGCCGTATGGCTTTCTTAGCAATAGAGCCTCTGTTGGAGGTTCGGTGGCCAAAGCAAGTGAGGCAAAGGTGTCCATGATTAGATTGACCCATAACATCTGCACAGCTTTTAGAGGAGAGTCCTGTGGAGACAAATTAGAAAGTTACATATTTTCTAGAAAAATAATTGGTGTCAGGTCATTTACTGTGATTTCATTTCTTCCTGTGTGACTCCAAGCAGTGCTGAAGACAGGACACTGAATACATGGACCTTTGGTCTGACCTACTATGGACTTTCTTGTATTTCTTATGCAAGACCAGAATCACAGGAAGCACAGTGATCTGGGCAAAGATAAATTATTTCTCTCCAGTCATTTAAATCAGGAATATTTACAAGCACACAATTCTTACAAAGCATAACGTTAACACTTTATAATACATTTTGCAATACCCTCTGTTACTTCATGCATCGTGCTTAAGGTTGCAGCTGAATTTAGGTAACTAGGTAATACAAGTGGGAATTTATTTCCTGGAAGAAAAATTATACTGAAACAATTTTAAAAAGTAATGTTTACTTTTACTACAACTTCCCTATCTGTTTTTTCAGAAACAGATTGAAATTACTAAAAATTTATTAAATTATTATTGAGACATTTTAATGCATCTTACTTAAATAAGATCTTTTAAAAACAGTAGCGATGAAAAAAATGCCTGATATTTGAATTTTAAAAATATTCTGAAAGTCATTAAGCTATATAAAACATGCAAAAGTAAGATAATCTTTATTATTTTACTGGGTAACAGGATAGCATATTTGAAACTACGGAACTGGAAAGGGGGGGGGGGAAAAATACTACTTGTCAGGATGATTTATTTTCTGCAGCAATTGCCAACCGCTAGAAGGAGCTCGTTCCTCACTTAATTCAAGAGAGAGTCTCTGCTCATATTACAGAGAACTTTATATCATGTTGAAAAAAACCCCAAAGGTAAATAAATAAAACAAACTACCACAGATCTCGGGAGAACTCCGGGTGACTATTATAAAGTTTTGATTTGTAACTCACTGGGGAAGCTACAATGATAGATGGATGCAATTGTTTCAAGGAGCCATATCAGGAAAAATGAAGGAGGTTCTTTTTTTGTATCTAACAACCTCCTATGCCTTTAGACTGAACAGAAAACAGGCAGCATTAGTATGGTCTGCTTCCTGTTTCAAATAGACGGTTTTTATTAGGAAAATAGAATCTGAACAGTAATAAGGAATCAGTATGTCAAACTTTAGAATGGGAGGGAGTTAATCTGCAGTGTGGACGTTGGAAGATCAGAGCGCTATTTTTATGCATTACATTACTGTTATGCTGCAGTAGTGAAGCAGCATACAAGCCACATCAAAGCCAATAAAACCACCTTACAAACTCTGCCCTTTTCTTCAAAGGGTTAAATGCTCATTTTTAATGAAATATCATCAAATAATGAGGGCAAATATCCATTCAGTATCCCAGGATGTATGGAGAATGGTTTGGTCTCTTTCGTCTGTGGTGTATATTCCAGCTCTCCCTTGAGAGAAAATATTATTTCCTCTTGAAAACATATTTGTAACACCTTTACATTTACACAAATTTTCATTATTTTATTTATTAAAAAATATTCATTTTTCACTTATTCATAGGGGTGGAGAAAAGCAACCTACTGTTTCTAAGTCTTACAGGTTGGCTATATCAGGGAAGGGAGGAAGGTTGGCATTATTAGATTCCTGACCTCTTGGTTATGGGTTGCGTTAACTTGGGCTTCACTGGAGAGTTTAGCTCACTCATTTGATATGCAGCTGCAGAAACAGGAAACATCTTTGTCTTTAGAGAGGGCTAAAAAATCAGGACAAACTTCATTACAAATTGAGATCTCATTTATTTTTACTAATACTGTATTTTTATCTGTCTAGTTAATAAGTTTTCTTGAGAAACATTCCCTACTTTGAGGTGTTACAGTAACTGAATTTCCACTTCATGAGTTTACTCCTATGTCAATAAAACTGAATTTGGCTGTTATGCTTAATAAATAAGAGTCAAATATTCAGGTGTCTATCAGAGCCTGGCATATTCCTAGCATAACAAAAAGTCAGATCCTTTCAGTCTCTAAATCACACAACTGTAACTGGCAGTCATCAGTTTTGGCAACAACATGTTCTCACCATTTCACACTGCCAATCACCTTGGGTGGCTATGGTGCCTCTAATAATTATCTATTATTGGCAGCACTACGCTGTTCAGTCAATTGTGAAAGCTCATTCTAAGCTGAAGCCAAAACATTAAATACACATTAGTCTAGGCAGGCAGTGGAATGAAATTTCCACTGCAGCTCTATCTGATTTCTGATTAGTTGGTGGAAACTGAGGAAAATACATCTCAGCTAAGGAGCTTAAGTCTTCCATTACATATTTTAGTCACTTAAGCAAGTGGGATGCAAATTCAATGTTCTTTTCACTGCATTTTAGCCACTAACTGATTAGCTAATAATTCTTAATTCACTTTCTGAAAACTTTGGGGATCAAAGCTGTTCAAACTGCAAACCACCCAAAATCACCACTTATTTGTCAAATTCCTTTCCACTTGACCTTGGAATAGGTTAGCATTGGCCTAGAGGTAAAAGGAAAATGTCCCTTAAGTCAAGTGATGTTACACTTCATCTTGGAAACACTTAAAAGTACAAATCACCAAAGGCTGGAAATAAACTACAAATCTTTCGTGACATACAGAGCCTCACAAATTGTAGAGCTTGTTACTTTTGATTTAGATGACGAGCTGTAAGGGAATAAAAAGGTATTCTCACCCTTACTCCCACTCCCACTTGTCACAGAACATGCACATGAATTCCTAAAAATTAGTATTTCTGGTAGGTTACCTTTATATACCTTAATGCAAAAAAAGTCAGCCCTTGCTTCTGCTGCTAGATCACACTGTCTACTGATTGTATGGAAGTGGCATCCTCAATTCTATTTCCATGCCTCTGAGCCTTTCCAAAACAAAGCCAAACAGGATGTACTTTGATTTTATATTATAGCTTGTTCAAATTTGCCAATGGTATTATTTTAGGATTTGCCAAATACAGTTCTGCAGTAAAACACTATAACCATGTAAATTACCGCCTTATACATGTAAGTATAGATCACCCTCATTTTTTGAACAAGATCTGTAAAAACAATAAGTGATTCATGCAGTGGTTCATTGCTACAGTGCTTTTTAATTAACATTTGATTTTCCAAACATAATGTCCTATAGAGTCACTGTTTTCAGTTCCTAATGTCTGCTAAAACATTAAGTCTTTCTCAAAGTATGAGAATAATAATTTGAATGTAAAATGTTAAAACACGGTCAGTCTTTGTCTTCTCTTTAATGCCACCTTTTTGAATAGTTACGTTGCCTCAACAGTTGGAGAGACAGACAAAATTTGGCAGGGAGATAAACTTGCTAGTGCCAGTAAAAATCTCTTTCCATTTTACTGACCTGCATTTTAAAATCTTTATTTTGTATATACCCAGATTATTTTTAACAGCTCCAAACACAATGACCTAGTATTTCCTTGGTACTGTGTATATGTTGGGGACAGGAAATGGGATGCACCTTCTGGCTTTGTAAGGCATGTGTAGAACTCTATATGGTACCTAGAGATGTGGAGCAATGACTCATTTGAAGTACAAAATTCACAATAATTGTAGGCAGAGCTCCAAAGAAGAACCCTCCCTGAGTCAACCAAGGGCTCTGCAAAAATGTTTGCAGAGAATGAAGTCAGAATATGAGAGTTTATATCTCATAAATCCACTGGAAAAAGAAATTACTGGTTTAACTGGAGGTAATACTGCTAAACAGAAAGGACAATTATATGCCAACTGGTCAAGATAACCACACCCTGATCATTTTAAAAGTATGCATTCAGCAACACAGAAAGAAGGAAGCAAGAGGTAAATGAATTAGATTAATTGAAAGAGAAGGTGAATTAATACAGCTCAGCTGCATTATGCCACACAAACTGCACTGACATGGGACTAGCAGAAATAATAGTTGTGATCTCATGGGTGGTGTTACCTACACACTGGACACAAAGTTAAGAGCACCTATGCAGCTGCAGATTGAGTGATCCTGATTCAGCTTTTAATCAGAGACTTCTTTAAGCTTGGTTTTGTTGTATGACTTCGATCTCAGACTGCTTTACATAATTACAGAATCACAATGCAACAGTGCATTATTAGTTGAAAATTCAGAACTCTGGGCTTATACATTGACCTGTGGTAAACTAAAACAGGGTCTAATGTAAGTCAGATCCCTGTGAGGGGCAGCTTAGTTTTGGCAGCAGCCACACTAAGTTTGCCAACAGGTGACACTCTATCTGTAATTCCTGTGCTCCTCAGAATATGGTTTCTGTCACCTTAACATGACTTTGTGCTAGGACCCATGACAGAGAATGGGTCTGTGTAATAAGCATTTGCATTGATCCCATTTAGTCTGCAAAGTAACTTCTTTAATAGCCCACTGCTACTCCTTTGTAATCCTTACAGAACATCTGAGTAGCATGTAGGGTCACACAGACCCTACACGTAGTTAAACATCTATTGAAACAGCAAACCAGGACAAAAGAGAAATAGCAGATTATGGTAAATACTCTCTCCAACAGCAGCAACTTGCTGAAGCAGGCATTGGGTAGATAAATAATAAAATATTATTTGCTTAACATTAACAGAATTAAGCTAAACAGTAGTTCCCTGAAGAGGAATTGGCCAAGACATTGATTTTATTTATGTATTTGAGAAAGCAAGCAGCAGATTCTTAAAGTGACCACTAATGGTCACAGGTTCTACCTAATGTTTTTCTTAAGCCTCTCCATGGCACTCCTAAGGTGCGCTGGACCAAACAAATCAAGTCCTACTTGGCAGGGCGTTCTCTGGGTGCTCCTTGGAGTTCTGGTTTCACTCATAACAGTGCTCACACAGTCAGGCCTCTTCATTAATACAGAGCTGATGTGGTTTCACTAGGAGTCCTGCAGTCATACGACCACATACACATATTTACATGCACACCAACGCAATGGCAGGATCAAGAGTGAAGAAAATTAAGTCTATTTAGTTACAAAGCACAAACCAAGTGTTAAAAAAAATTAGTCAAAATTATTATTTTTAAAAATCTTTTTACTTCCTTTAAACACAAACAGTAGAAAGGCCAAAAAGAGTAGGTAAGTGTAAAAGAAGCTTCATACTCGAAGCAACCCAGCATGCTGGTTCTGAATTGCAGAACAGATTTTCTGAGAGGTGACATTAAGAAGCATGAAAGAAATGTCATTAACTATATAGAATTTTTCTTATTCTAGATTTGATGAAATATCACCAAAAGGGTAGCCTATGTAATATTCATTAACCTGAATATTAATTGTGGATTATAATTATATTTGTGTGTCAAAGACAGCCAAACTGACTACCTAAAAGCAAATTAAAATTCAGTCAAAGTGGACCTTCCTTATGTTCATTTTGAAGGTCACAGAAAGCTGTGTTGCCTTGGGAAAATATAGATTTTAGCTTCATTTTTTTTGTTAAGAATTTAAATGTTTCATTCAAAATAGTAATTTGAGACCTGTGTACAGTTTTGCAGACTCAGATCTGTGTGTGTGTGCACCTAGCCTGTTGTATGCAAGATTTTTTGGTATATTCATGCATTTTGTGCTAGAGCTATTTTCATAGCAACCAGAGGGTACAGTATGTTCTCAAGTGTAATTTTTAGTAAAGCTTATGAGCCAAACAAACAGAATGCCCTTTCACTGGCTTCAGTCTGAATCAAAGCCTAACACAATAATGTTTATTTGTAAGGCAAGATCCTTCTTGAATGAGACAGAACCAAGAGCTACTTGAGATTATCAGCAGTCAGGCTGTGCAAACAGACCTACAATGGAAGTAACTGCTGCCTTACTTCTTGAATGAGACAGAACCGAGAGTTACTTGAGATTATCAGCAGTCAGGCTGTTGAGTGCGAACAGACCTACAATGGAAGTAACTGCTGCCTTTTTGCTATAATTTCAATTTCAGCTCCTTTGAGACCTCTTCTTTTGGATTTGCATTTTTACTGCTGAATTAAGGAACTGCATAAGAATCTATTGGGACAGAAATACAGGAATTCTAGGTGTTGTACGTTAAAACCTGTAAACAGGGACAATAGACTGGTCAGACTCACTGACTGTCTTACAGACCATTGGGGCAATATAAATGCACAGGGCCTGATCCAAATCCTTCTAGAAGTCAATGGAATGATTCAAAGGATGAAGAGAGCTCCGGAATTAGACAGGGGAATATGCTTGCACTGATTATGCACTACACATGCACTTAGACTTGATTTAAAATAGTCTTTGCACTGTTTCAGTAATGTTTAACCTCTTCAAGAATAAAGTAGAAAATAATTAGTCAACAAATAGAATATATTTCCCTTCATGTTTTCAAAAAGCAATTGAAAAAATGCTGGACACTAACAAAAAAAAATTCACCTTAAATAAATGTTAGTAGGCAGTGACTGAATGCCTATAAAACAGAGTCTAAAAAGGAAGCACTCCCCTCAGTTCCAGTGATGGTGTTCTTACCACGTTGCTGTCAGCACTTTTTTCTATACGGTTTCGTACCACTGATAAAAATCCAGGAGGACAGACCTTCCAGACTCTTAGTCCTTATTCACATGCCTTCTGTTACTGCAACAATCACTTCACAGCTAAACATTTCCTCAATATGCTTGGAAATATTTCCCAAGGGAAAAGTTATCCAACTTCTACCTCAACATCAATAATTTTGTCCCATAGCACAGGCTTAGTTGTGCCAACAAGGCATCACCAAGACCCGGGGGCAGCGTGGAAGGGTTCTAGCACTTAGCAGCTCACAATTTTTACTTCTCGGAAAACAAGTGAATTGAGGTTTCAGTGCTTCCTTTGTACAGAATAAAACAATTTCATTTGTTAAGATCACTTCCACTTGCTTCCAACCCAGCTGTTTCTGATTTCACCAAGAACCCCAGCCCCAGCCCTACGTGCACTTAGCTCAGAGGAGCTAAATGATGACAGTTGTATCTACCCAGCATTGCATGGTGCTCATGGAAGCCAGGACCTCGCAGACTCCTCATATGCAGCACAACAAAGGCCTCTAAATGTCAGTCAAGGCTCAGGAGAAGTTTGACCTCATGGTTTTGTAAAGCTACCTGGGTTTCTGGTTTCACCTTTCAATTCCATGATTACAATGTAAGTTTACCCTGGAGTAGAGCTAATGACTTATTAATTGTTTTGCTCAGGTGTGCATGAGGTGAAATTTACCTGCTGAAACGGGGATGTGCATCTGTATGATGCACAACAGAGGGAAGCATCAGCTTTCCCATGCGTGTCTCAATCAAAGGAGGCATTTTGTAACAGCACCTATCTGCAGCATCTGAAATACACATTATTTTAGGGAGTGACAGCACTAAAAACTGCATGTTTTTCTATTTTCTAATGAAGGACAAAAAGCTCATACTGTACTAAATACATTCTGCTTTCTTTCTACGGAAAAGAAAACTTAATTTTATTAATCAAAAAGTAGTAGTATGAACATAAAAAAAAAGTGGTTTGCTTTCACATATGCTTTTTTGTAAAAGACCTTGGTACACTGCATGTCAGGGATTAATGTAGAGGGAGAAAAAGAGAAAAAAGTCCAACTGGAGATGTCATTTAATTGGTTTATCATTTGCATCTGAAACTAAAAGGAATTGCCTGAAAGCAACAAAATAATTTTATCAGTCAGAAAGTTCCCCTGCTGGGATTACTTCTGGGTGTCAGTACTACTCTCTTGAAAATAATAATCCCATTCCATAATCTATCAAGAAATATATATTTAATAGTGAAGTCTTCTGAGACGGAAAGGCAAAGTCACACAACCTCTTCCTTCTCCCAGCCCTGTACATTTTCTGTCCTGTCATCACAGGCTCAGTCATGACAATGATATGTAATCAAAACCAGGGAGCTCCATGGAGGCAGCACAAAAATCAGCAGCTCCTAAAGGCAATTTACTTCCAGGAGAAGATGGATTAGTACACTTCCTTATGTCAACAGCTATTTAACATTTAGCAGCTTTATCCTAAATACGCTCAGAGGAATTTCAGAAAGCATATTTTCTGTTGCACAAACTAAGAATCAAATGTAAGCCACCATTACTTAAAAGAAAACGTAGCTTGGTAGGATTTCACCCCATACTTTCAGCAACACCTCAAGTTATCCTTACCTGGGTAATGCATGCTCCTGTAAAAGCCACAATCACAGCCACAATGTTAACAGTGAGCTGGAACTGCAGGAACTTGGAGATACTATCATAGACATTACGTCCCCACATTACAGCCTTCACGATGCTACTGAAATTGTCATCTGTGAGGATGATATCTGAGGCTTCCTTTGCAACATCGGTTCCAGCAATACCCTGGAAAAATTAATTGTGAATAAAATTACCTACTGCACAGTACAGAGGCAGACAGAATACAAATCTATTCATAGTCCACAGTTACACAGAGACTCCCCAGCATCGTAACACTGACTGCTCAGTATATTCTGCATTTTGTATTTGCTAGGAAGTTAGCTAATTTGGCCTATTTTTGAAAGCAAATAAGGATGCAGAAAAGGGAACTGATAGCAGTGGAATTCATGTGATGATAGTTTGGACTGTTTTAAATTATCAGCTTAATGACTACTGATCTTCTGAGTTATTTTTATCATTGATGATATTTTATTAATATACATGAATAGAACTGCTAACAAAAATCAGAATTACATATCTTAATATAGCTTAGTATATTAATGTCTTCAGAGTCAGAGATCATGGGAAGACATCTTTACAATTAGTGATGGATTTTACCAAAGCAAAACAGTACTCCACTGTTGTGAAGAATACAGAGTTCATTTTTCTGTATTCTCACAGGATTCTGCAGATAGCCAATAATTACCTTGAACAAAATATTGAAGAAGTATCAAGACAAGCAATAGCAGTGAATCTAACATAGTAAATTAAAGGATTCTGAAGCAACATAACTCATCCACTCCAACATATTACTGACAAGTAATAACTGGGAAACTTTCTCAACACTTAGTGAATGAAAAACCTCTTGCAGCAAATTTAGAATGACACAAACATCAATAAATATGCTTAATATTATACCATTGCAAAGCCAACATCAGCTTTTTTAAGTGCTGGTCCATCGTTGGTTCCATCACCAGTCACAGCTACAACCTGCCTCTGTTCCACCTGTGTGCTGTCAATAATACCTGCAAAAAATGTATATGTGTGTATATACATACTTATATATAAAATAATTAGCAAGATAAAACTTCCCTCTAAAAAATAGCAGGGTCTCTGTCATATAGACTGCATCATACCACACGAGTCTCACAGAAATCAGTAGAGTTGATTTTTAAGGAGAGTAACGATGGCAGCAGTGTCATCACTACTGCACACTACTACTAGAATTTACATGGAAAGTTCTGATCCTACATCATGGAAACATCTACAGAACTTGCCCAGACTTCAAAGGGAGTGAGATCAGCTCATTATGTTCTTCTGGAAGATTTCTACTATTTACAATTGTGTCACAGTAAACTCATTTCAGCCCAGCTCTCTGATCAAACTTCAACAGAAAGCATTTGCTGAAGACTTAAGTTCATGCTTACAGCTCTCCTAAACTGGGACTGAACTGGAGTATCTGCTTTACTGGGATACCTTTTGGCAACCAGTTGAACCTAAAGATAACAAATACCATTGATTAATTTTATTCAGCTGGAGCCAAATTAGCATTTTAACAGACATGTTCAATTCTGCCAAATGATTAAGAAGACATAAAATAATTCTTTAAATTCTGTAGCCAAACATTTTAATAAATAAACATAATAAAATAATTTCTACTTTCATTTTGAGAACATTTGAGAAAAGAAAGCACTTTTCACTTGGTGAATCAAGTTTCATGCAACTAGCCTGCAGGGAAGTATTTTCCATTTATGTAGACAGGGAAAGTGAGGAAAAGAAGAAATAATTTTTCTAAAGCTACAGAAGCAGCTCTGTTTTTTAATAGGATGGGGATCATTCACCACTCGTGTTTATCTTTCATGTCAGAGCCATTTGAATATGAGCAGAGAGTACAGGACTGTTGTCCTGAGAATACAGGATACACAAACACCTCTTCATATAACTTACTGGGGAAAAACAACAAACTTCCTTTTGCTAACACATTTTGTACAAAGTCATAGCCTCTAAAAACAATTATCAAAACCTACCCAGTGCGAAAAGCTTTCATTCTACTCTGGAAAAAAATAACTCACTTATCAGATAACTAACCAGAAATAGGAAATTGCAGATAACAGAGCAATAGCTGCCTCCTGGCAAGGTTCAGGCTTATCAGGCACCCAGAAGATTGCAATGCAGCATGGAAGCAGTTAGTGTCCTGTATTTTTCAGTCTTATGAAAATAAGAAAAAGACCTATTCACTTTCCATTGGCAGTATGAACTCAGATAAATGGCACATTATTCTGATAAGATCTTATAATTAGAGCTTTCAATTTGTTGAGGTGATTTGCCTTTGGTATTAGTAAATAAACAGGAACATCAGCTCCCATTAGTGTTAAAAGTATTTATCTTGGTCTTCCCTTCTTGTTAACGCATCCTTTGATGTTAAATTAATAGTTCAATTATTTGAACTGAAAAAATTTGTTAAGATCTCTGACACATCTTGGTATTAACTTCTCCAAACAGGTAGATAGCATCCTCTCACAACTAGATTCCAACCCAAATCGAGTTGAAGAGGCTCTAACAAATGACCTCCTAATAGACAGAAATAGGGCTGTAATGTCAGTGACTACCCAGATGCACTGCTTCAGCCAAGTGCTCGATGCAGCTGCGTCCTTGCCAAGGTTTAGTAGTCATTCACAAGATTTTGTAGTCATTTTTATCCTTAAAAGCAAACAATGCAGCTGTGATAAGCACAACACCCTCCAGAGCACAGAACTGCATCATCAGCAGTCATGGAAAAAAAGAGATAACGTGGTCTCAGTTACCATCAGCATCTTGGCCACACACCTTCACCGCAGTGACCACTGCTAGTGTCATCAGAAATGTGTCAGTGCATGGCACAACAGTGTGTGGAGGGACTTCAGTGCTATTCATAGGGTGAGAGATCTTTGTGGAACTTTCATTTGCACATCAGACAAATGTCTAAAATGGAGCAGTAGTGATTATTTGGGATTCAGAGGATTTATTATCATGGCTATACTTACACTCCCTGACTTCTGCTTGCCCTTTTTAATCTGTTCCTCCTCCCCCCGCCCTCACATCTCTGAACCCTCATCTTCTTTCCAGCACTTGCTTCCTTCCGAGCTACATTTCCTTTTACTTTTTTTTTCTCTTTCTTTGATATAACTCTGTTAATAATTGTGATAAGGTTCCAGAATGGTGGGGGTTGGAAGGGACTCCAGGAGATCATCCAGTCCAACCCCCCTGTCAAAGCAGGTTCCCTACAGCAGGTTGCACAGGATCCCCACACCAGGTTGCACAGGAAAGTGTCCAGGTGGGTTTTGAACATCTCCAGAAATGGAGACTCCACACCCTCTCTGGGGAGCCTGTCCCAGGGCTCTGACACCCTCACAGGAAAGAAGTTTTTCCTTAAGTTTGTCTGGAACTTTCAGTGTTGCAGTTTTTGCCCATTGCCCCTTGTCCTGATTTCTTTCCCATATCTCACCTAAATCTCCCCTCTTCCAGTTTAAAGCCATCACCCCTTGTCCTGTCACTCCCTGCCCTTGTCCAAAGTCCCTCCCCAGCCTTCCTGGAGCCCCTTCAGGTACTGGGAGGCCGCTAGAAGGTCTCCCCAGAGCCTTCTCTTCTCCAGGCTGAACAGCCCCAACTCTCAGCCTGTCCTCGCAGCAGAGCTGCTCCAGCCCTCAGATCATCTTTGTGGCCTCCTCTGGACTTGCTCCGGTAGATCCATGTCCTTCTTGTGTTGGGGGCCCCAGAACTGGACACAACACTACAGATCCCACTGATGCTGCAGGAGTCTGGGGGGGAGTCACATAGTTTGCATACAGCCTAAATTCTCCAGAGCAAGCAGCTTGTTTCTGATGAGAGAAAAGATCCTATTGTAAACAACTATGTACAGCTGTCAAGAGGGGCACTACGTGCACAAGCTTGCTGTAAAAGGTACCAGCACTGCATACACAGCTGAAACTGAGAGATCCTGTATCCTTCCTCCCAGCTAACATTAAGCAAGCATTAAATCAAATCCACTCGGGATAATAATATAAAAAATATTAGCCAACAATGTGTCTTCCATTTCTTTTATAAGGAGCTGTCTGTTCCCATGGCTCAGATCAAAACCATCAAGTATAGCCTCAGGTTCTCCCTTTATTGCAGAACAAATGCCGCTTTATTTAAACAATTCTTACTTGTCTTGTCACCCTTAGAGTCGCATCAGTAAGAAACCATTGGTTCTGTGAGAAAAAGAATCCTGGTTTAGATATTTCTTTCTGTCTCAATAGATTAACTCAAAACAGGTAGACAGGAAAAACTTAGCTACAGCAGAGCATTTCAAAGACACACACCAGTTCAGGTGTTACTGATGCAGTAAAGCTGATCATCCCAGATGCTTTCACATATTTATATATTTTTTTAAAGCTAAACATAGATGCAGTAATATGCATGACCTGTTCAGAATAGTTTTTAATACTTCCAAGCTTTTTGAATCTCCTTGTTAATTTAACAAGAATTTAGAAAGTCTGTCTGAAATAAAATTTAAATTCACTTTAGTTACATGCTTAAGTATGTGCAGGACTAGAGCTTTAAAGGTTAATGTGAAAGTGTTATACATAACATTACAGGCAGCATTGGTAATTCTTAAATGAATAGCACTCCACAAAGTTCACAAGACTAGAATGGCAGAGAAGAACATGGCTAAAACGCACAGATTTCTGTACTGAGCATGTGTCACCAACGTGGTTCATACTGTAAGACTGAAACGCCAAAGGGAAACCTTGAAGGCATCGGTGCCTCCCACAAAGTTACACTTAACACAGAGACCTCAATGGTATTTACAGAGTATACAACTCTAGATCCAAATGCAGAAAGAAAGGGTAATTATTAAAAATAGTTTCTTCTTTAAAGTTCCCTGTCTGCTTATTAGTAAATCAGCCTTACATGAGAATAGAATAGTTGTTTTTAATATCACAGAAAAATAATTCCAGCCTAATTTAAACACATTGCAAAGCACAGCTTCTTTAACTGGCAAACTGAATATTTTGTTGATCTTCTCAGTACCTTCTGATCAGATGATGGTATTACCCATCAGTACTACATAGTTGCTTCCCATAGTATTTAAAAAAATAGTATGAAAATATTGAAGTATTTCAGCAATACTATGATAAGTATAAATTACATGCATTTTTACTTGTTATATTTTGAAATACGGTAAAAAAATATGAAATAATATCAATGGATGTCAAAAAATCCATAAGAAATTTTATTTCAGTTGGACTGAGATACCTGACATCTTTGTTTCACTGAAAGAGTTTGTGAAGATAAACCATTTTGACTTTTTTTTCCCCCAATCTGCCTCTACTTCAAAGCTGTAAATATTTGAGAGAAACTGTCTGCCCAGCCTGAAATGCTGAACCATGCCTTTCTCTAGTCCCTTAACAGTAGTAAAAACAAAAATGCAAAACAAAAATGATCCTTTTGCTGGGTGGGATTGTGCTATGTTAAGGAGAAAAAATAGTCCCTCCAGCAGCTGTATGTCATTAAAAATTAAATACAAAAAAAGTTTATTTTGTGATGTGTGTTTTTACCCTAGAGCAGATAGAATACATCAAAGAACAGAAAATCCTCCTGATCCCTCAAGTGTCTGAGAAAAACATAACGTTTTAACAAGAGGCCCAAAACTAGTGAACATTTAAATAGTTTCTTGTAACTTTTAATGGCCCTTGGAGGATTACTAGCCAAAAAATTTCATCATGATTTTCCACAGACTTGTTCTTGAACTTCATTAGATACTTGATTGCTCTATCATTTGACCTTGTCACATCTTTAAAACATTAACTGTATTAGTTGCATAAGGCATTCAGTGGTAGTAAATAACTTTTGGATTGTCAGAGTGCATATGCTATAAAACATCAGTGATTTGTCACTTATTTTTCTTCAGCTCTTTCTTGTTTTCATTTTCTCTGGCAAAGGTTTCATTTTCCTCTTCAGGGAAAATCCTGAATGAGTCAAATGAGTATTCCCAAGGGACTTATTTAATCCACTTAATGAAATACAAATTGTTGTGTGTTTCTGAAACAAATAAACTATTAGGCTGTAAAAGTCATGTCCTCTAAGACCTATAAGACAGAATTTTATATGTACTGGGGACGTGAGGAGACTTGAGCTAACTTTGTGCTGTTTTAACACTGACCTGTGGACCTAATAATTATATTGTCCAAACCAACGCTCTCCAAACCTTTTAAATCATAAACACCTATTGGTAAAATCTTTTGGAGCACACACCCCCAAAATATGTATATTATTTATAAATTATATATGTACTACTATATTATGCACATTATTAAAAATACATTAGAAAAGGATGAGAGAGAGAGAGATGAAATAAACAGTATATTTTAAATATTCTATTTCATAATGGTAAAAAATAATTTCTTCCTGCATCCCAGTGGATTGTTCTGATGTGTGCACCCCACTTCAGAGAGCACTGGTCTAAACAGTGGCTGGAGAGGGTGAGTAACAGCAGCATGTCCCCAGCTGCCCCATCTCGTGTACTGTCCCAGGGCTTACAAGATATCTTAGTCCTCCTGAATGATCCATGCTTCCAGAGCTCTTCACATACACTGGGACAAATCCCAAAGGATGCAGCTGATCCTGTCTTCAATTTACAACAGAACTTTTGCTCTAAAGTCATTTAGGCATTTAAAAAAAAATGACATACTGCTCAAAAGCCTCCCTAATCAGCCACATATGGAATCCTATCAATAAAACCTTGCCATACCAAAAGGATACATCCAGAAATTATTTCCTGTCTAAATGTGAATTATTAAGTAGTCAACCAGCTGAAAACATGTAACTGATCCGCTAGATCTCATCCTGAACTTCAGCTCCTCTAAGAATTGCTAAGAATCTCTGCAGACTTTCTAGAGCCTTAGCAAAATAATCCAGATCTTTCTTCATCAGAGGAATCCAGTAACCACAGCCATCTGCCAGTGGGGCTTCCGCCTGTGCTGGCCCCCCCTCTTATCACAGCCAGAAATTATGTTATTCCTGATCAGAATTTTCTGATTTCATCAGCTATCTTTTAAGTGTGAGCTTCAAATTCAACAGACTAAGATTTCAAGTATCAAGAAGTGCAAGTTGCAGATACAAAAAAGGCTTTATAAAGAAAACTGCAAATAAATCCCTCTTTTATAGAGCATTCCATCTGCAGACAGTATGGTGGGAAAATATAATTTGTATCGTGTAGGACAAAAACAGACTCAAAAAAACCAGCCAGAAATCTAAAGGAAGCCAGTGCAAATCGTACAATTGGTGAGCCCACAGGAAACCTGAATTGGCTTAAAATCCGTATCTCCACTCAAGTAATGCTAAAGAGGGCAGCTCCTAGTGACACACTCTCCAGTAACTGCTCTTATAACTTGAAAAGCTTTTTATCTTGGAATATTATTTTGAAATAATTGTGGGAGAATAGATGCACTTGAGTGACTTGATTTATTCTAAATGAGTTTGTTCTTGTTTTCTTCATAAAGACTACAAAATCTATGCCTTCTTGTTTATAAGAACAACAGATTACTCAACAGTATTTTAATTCTGACCAGCAAACGCACATTTTCCCTTCGCAGCTAGAACCTCCTTCTAGTCCAATTAAAAGTCACAGGGCAAACATGAGACTGCCTGCATCTACTTGCCAGATATCTTACTGGTATTTCTGTTAGTCCTGCCAACCAGTTTCCTGTTTTTTACCATTTGAAGGATTGGGTAGAACACAAACACAAGAGACTTGGTTACTGAGAAAACTTCCTTGCGTTATGTATAGATCTGTAATTTAAGAAAACAACTTGGATATACTTGTAACAGTAAAATTTTTACAACACAGATGATGTGCCAAACTTAATTCAGTAACTTTGGCATGAACCACACACACACACACGCACACACAGGGAGTCTGCACGCACCTTTTACCAGAGTGTGTTTGTCTGTGGGAGATGAGCGAGCAAGCACTCGAAGCTTTGGCCAGATTTTGTCAATCCGCTCTTGCTCAATCTGGAGAAGGGGAACAGAAAAAAACCCGCCAAAACCGAAAGCTGTTAGCCTGTGATTAGCAAAATGCAAAATATATTTGTGTCCATGTGTCAGAAGATTCACTTCACTACTCAGATCTGCAGTGTTTCTCCAGAAGTACAGAAAAATCACAACAGCCATCAATGCTGCAAATGAAGGCAAGGTCCAAAAAGCCAGTTTTCTACTGGTGAAGCTCAGCTTCTGGCTCACATAGGTCAATTTTGTGACAGTATCTAAGCGGCCTTTCTTAGCATCTTTATGGATAATTCAGAATCATGACTCTAGATATAAGGTAGTGGAGCTTCTCAAAGCTGATCAAACATGTTTACAAGTGAAAGTATGTGGTTCTATTCTACATTTGAATCCAAGTTCTTTAGTTCATTTTGGCACCAATAATGGCAGAATTTTCCCTGTAAACCAACAGAACAAGGACAAAGGATTCCATCGTTCAATGCAAGGAGTAAACAACTGTGTCCATTCATTAACGATGGACTCAAAGACACAGCATATACTTTTTTAAAGCTGACTTCAATAGCCTGTGTGTTAGCTCCATCTTTTATGAGGAGTTCCCTTCCAAACAGATTAAAACTTCTGCACGTTATTACTGTGAGTGAATATAGCAGCAAATTAGATAAAGTGCTATAAAAGGAGCTGGTTCGCAGCACAGATTGCGTTTTTATGAGACAGACATGCAGACTACCACTGAGTTCCTTCTCACTAACAAACCTGCTTTTCATGTGCTTGGTTTGGTTTTCTTGTAGACTAGTGCTATGGTTCTAAAAACTGTTGAATCAGGCTAGCACTAAACTGACAGTGCCTCTGCATCATGAAAAGTAAAGACTGTGTTTGTTGATGGTATTTTGAATGGCAAAAGGCTAGTGGGTAGAAAGAAGTAGCAGTCTCTCCAAGTAGTCTTTACTGATACGAGACACACATCAGTGCAGGAGAAACAACATTATTTTTAATAACATTAATATGCATGGATTTAGTATATGAATTACCTCTCCCTTCTCGTTTCGGATCCTTCTGTTAAACTAAAAAAAAAGAAAGTCTTCTCCCGGATGAATGATCCCACATTTTATGGCAATGGCACGGGCTGTGTTGATGTTGTCTCCAGTGACCATGCGGACTGTAATTCCAGCTCGCTGGCACTTTCTTATGGCTTCTGGGACCTACAAAAGCAATATAACAGGAAAAAAAAATCCTAGATAAGAGATAAAGTGTAAGTCAGGTGTTTCCGGTCAGAATATTTTGAGGCTAAGAAATTAATGAAGCAAAAAGAGAAATCATACATGTTATGGCATATTATAGCTACATGACTACTACAGAACTGGTTACAGCACAGGCAAGACAAATCTTACAACAAGAAGCACACAAACCATTTTTTAGATCAGCTGCCTAAAGCTTCTCCTGACTTCAATAAAAAGCAGTGATCTGCAGCTTTTTTGACCTTTATCATCAAGGTACACCATACTGAACCTAACATACTCAACATACATTTAAATATGAACTGAAAACACACATATTTTGAACAGAAAATGATTAACTTCTGATCCAGATTTTCATTTGAGTAAGATTATCTAAAATGTCATTGTAATATAGCACTAATTAATGCATATCAACAGGCAGAATTCCTAAATATATGAATTTAAGATTTTATTAATAATTTATGTATTTCGAAACTATTAAAAATGAAGCGTGATTTTAGTTATGCTCCTTTCTGCATGAGGCTAACTTTTCCTGCTGCACAGCGTATATACCAGTGAGAGAGAATTCAGTGTGTAACAGGGTCCATGGGTTTAATGTAGAAGCTATATACTGACTTGGGATCATATACAGCTTATAAAAAAAAAAAAAAAAAAAAAAAGAGAGAGAGAAAGAGAAAAGAAAGATTTTTTTTGTAATTAAAATGTGCAAGAGCGAGGAAATTGATTCCTAATAATTTAAAAAGCTCTTAATACAGCTACTTGGGTATATGACACCAGTGCCTATAGAAAGGCTAGATATCTATAGCTCAATTTCAGATGGGGAAAAAATAATATTCCCTTGAACTGTATCATAATTAATGAGAATTAATTATTAGTAAATATCACTCTAACCAATGAATGCACACTTCTGCATTATTATGAAAGCATTATTTCTTCAAGAAAAAAAATAACACTATTATTTGACATGGAAGAATAAGTGTATTTAACACTTCAAGAACAGCCTAGATAGATACCTTCAGCAGCCCAGCACTTCTCTAAATTTCATTTTTACCTAGAAGAGACTAAGGACATCCCAGGATTCCTCATGAAGACAGAATCCCTTTGTAGAGCTCCATGAAACTGAACTGCTTTACTACAGAAGATGGCAAAGGGCACATATAAAGCAATTATAGACTGCACTGTTCTTACGTGTGGGGCAGCGGAGAGGTACCTGAAATAGTTAAGTGACAGTCTGAGAGGAAAAAGATTCCCAAAAGATGAGCATGACTTAGATAAGCACCTGAATATTAGGCAGTGATCCTACGTACAGCTCCAGGCAATCTGAAGGTTATCCCACAAGTTAAAATAGCTCCAGAGACCTGGCCCTAGGTGCTTGCTCTGTGGTGTTGCCTAACACTCTCAAGCTATGTAATGCATACATAAACCAGATTTGAATACACTCCCCAAATACACACACTTGACCACTGCCTGCACATTGCTGCTGTGTTATCAGCTGAGCTTCAGACGACACACTTATGTAAAATAACAGGACTGACCATGATGTATTATGTCAGCAATCATGTATATAGAGCTGTTGATTTCCTACATAAACTAATAAGCAAAGGATATGATTAGGAAAATAAATTTAATTTTAAAATAATTATAAAAATTTTGTTAAAAAAAAAAAAAAAACTATTGAAGAAAGGAAGTTATAGATGCCCCCTCCCTGGAAGTGTTTTAAGGCCAGGCTGGATGAGGCTTTGAGCAACCTGGTCTAGTGAAAGGTGTCCCTGCTGATGGCAGGGGGGTTGCAACTGGATGAGCTTTAAGGTCCCTTCCAACCCAGACCATTCTGTGATTTTATGAAAGGGTATAAAAATGGATATTCCTGCCTACAATAGCAATGCCTTGCTGTATTCTACTGCCAGTTCAGTGCAGCTTTCTGATCATAACCTCTTAGATAAAAGTGTACTGTAGAACCCAATGCCAATGAGAGTAGATTAATCTCATCCATTAGTACAGAAAATATTAAGAAAAGGAGCCACCATCTACAACATTACACGGTTAATTTTGTGCATTTCCAGATATTTTAATTTCCTCTATAGCTGCAAATATGTGGCACTGCTCAGGGCAGGACATTGCCTTTTACATGCCAACCACTACTCTGATCCAGTGTGACAAGTGATGGGGTTCTGATGGTTTCATGGGGCCAGTAAGTATTTCAGACTGCACATCACACTGAAATTATACTCCCTTAAAACACCTCGTAGATTATGATTGTTCTAATCAGTGAATAAAATTTCACACCATGTTTATTAAAAGCAGTTGTGAGGCTTCTATTTTCCAAAATGCCTCACTAAACTAACACCTAATTGAGGATCAGACTAGTACTTTTCCCATGACTAGGAAGAAAATCACTCCACCCTCAGACTGCATCTAGAGAATGTGCTGTTTGCAGAATGACTTGCTGTCAATACAGATTACAGAACCGAGAGAAAAATTAAGAGGTTTATCTTCCCATTTCCTCATCTCTACTAGCTGAGAATATTCTTGCCACAAGCAGTATCCTGGAAACATTATTTGGACCTGAAGCCTTTTAACATTATGAAATAGACTTCTATGGGGAACACACAATCAGATTAAATCTATTACTTAAGCAAATGACTCCTGATTTACTCAGTTTCCACATTAATAATCCTGACTATATCCTATTTGCCAATTTGGAATGCCCTTAGTATCCACTTTAACTGTGGTGACCCTCATGCATAGGGTATGACAGATTTAGATGACTAACTGTAAAACCAGCACATTATATGAACCATGAAGGAGAAAAATAAATCACAGTGCAAACAGAAAAAAAGGTCTATTCACATGAAGTGCCAGTCCTATTAAACAAGGTCATGGGAGGACAACCTAGTTTCAAATACATCTCAAACTTGCTTATAACTAGAGAAATAATTCTGTTTTCCTCTTCTCTCATTTTTTTGGACAGCTGGTGGGTGGTATCTGATTTAACACTGTGTACAGTAATTACAGTTAAAATATTGTTCATATTTTTTAATTGCTGTAAGGAAGAA